CCAGACTGTGGAACCTAATAGTGTAAAGGAAGCACGGCTCACTTACAGAAGGAGGAAAGATACCCTTCTATACAGGTACAAAGATTTTATTTAATACTAAGAAAAATTCTGGCAGATATGACCATCCTTAATTATGAAAAGTAGTAAGCAAATAAATAGTGGCAAATCCTATCCCAAGGCATTAATGGATCAAGAAGACAGGATTCAAAGCTGTTGCTGATGTGCTACACCTTGACTCAGCCAATAAAGTTGTCAGCAAAGCTAACTGTTATATAATAAAGAAAAGGGAGAAGGCAGCTGGGCTCTGTGAAATGCTTTCTCAGCACCAAGCCAGGTACTGACTGCTGAAGTATTTGATGCTCATTTGATGGATGTAAGGGCAAATTACATGCCAGTAATTCCTGCTGTCATAGTCCTCAAAATCTAGACATTCAAGGACAAACATAATGGTTCCTTCTACCAGAAAATAAGGACAAAAAAGATCAGCCAATAAATTCCTGGATCTGCAAGCCTCAGCTGAATTCCTTCCTTTACAAAGCCACATGCAAAGGACTTCAGGATATGAGAGAAACAAGCCAAGAGGAAGATGGAATATACAGCTGCAAACAGGCCTCTGAAAGGAGAAAGGTGAGCACAGCAGATGAGAAAAGACAGAGCTCTGAAGTGGAAACTACCAGCATGGCGTTCCACTGTAATTTTCTCTTTTCTCTGATCCTAAAACCAGCAAAGGCCCCTTCCACAGAGGTGAGATTACCTTGTATCAGACATAAGATCTTACAGCTCACGAACTCACACCCAGCTGTGGCTACTTTTTGATAGCATGGAGAGACAACCATATGGTAAGCCTCTAATACAGAAATCTCACCTTTTTCTAAGTCATGAAATAGCAACAGCCAGGAAATTCACATGCAGATGACTATTCTGAGCACACATGATCAAGTGAAATTCTCTGATCTCAGAGGAACACTTTGTTAAGACAGCTTTCTTTTTAAAATCATCCTGACAACACAGAAACAACTGTTTAAACTTCCCAGACCTTTAAAAATGAGATCTAGCAGTAAGAATGTGAGGCATTTCAGAATAGGAATTTCAAAAAAACTCTTAATTTGGGGGACAGGCAAGGAAAGAGGCTGAAATGGGAAGAATCATGAATTCCTTCCCATGGCAGATGTCTAATCACTGTATATGAGAGAGCTTCCCTGCAAAATTAAATGTAGCTTCACCTTCACAAGTAAAAAGTAAGATGCTGGGATTTATTTTCTTAGCTAAAGGAAGGAAATGAGAATTTCTAGCTTTAATCTGAAGCGACTTAGCTTTGAAGAAAGATATTAAGACAGTGGGTTAACCATTAAGGATCTCAGCACAGAAAGCTCATCTTTCTGTTTTAAAACCAGAAAAACTTCATTCCCTTCCTTGGACAAGTTCTGATGTATTTCACATTAACTGCAATGGATAACAGACACCTCAATCAGAATGCCTCTTCATTCAGTTTTTCACCCAGTATTTTAATCACAGAATAAACTGAGTTGGAAGGGTCCCACAATGATCACTGAGTCCAATTCCTGGCCCTGGACAGGACTATCATTAAGAGTCACTCCATGGGCCCAAGAGCATTGTCCAAACACTGCTTCAACTCAGACAGGCTTGGTGCTGTGACCACTTCCCTGGAGAGCCTGGTCCAGCGCCCAACCACCCTTGGCGAGGAGCCTTTTCCTAATATTCAACCTGAACCTCCCCTGACACAACCTGAGGCCATTCCCTCAGGTCACTGGGCATCACAAAGAGATCAGTGCCTGCCCCTCCTCTTGCCCTCAGGAGGAAGTTGTAGACTGCCATGAGGTCCCCCCTCAGTCTGCTCTCCTCCAGGCTGAACAGACCAAATGACCCCAGCCAGAGGATCCAGGACATAAGGATAGCAAAGCTTTAATAGGACTGATTTCCTTTTTCATTAAGATTATGCAAGCATGACAGTAAATGCCTTCTGGACAACACAAGAAATTCCAGACACGCTGGAATGCTCAATAAAGTGTTGCAGCTCCATGGCAGTTGGCATTGTTATCCACTCATCTTTCCTGCTGTAAAAGTCTATAAGGAGTATTGAAGGAAAACTGATAAAATTAAAAATGGCAGGGGGAAGAAATATTTAAGAAAGTTAAATAACCTAGAGAAGAAGAAAAAGCCAAGAAATGGGTTTCAGACAAGAATCATGGATCCCTGTTTTGTGTCAAACTTGGCGCTGTTGGTTAAAGTAATAATGGTGTGAACATGCCTAACAGACAGCTCTTCTCAAGAGTCTTGGATTCAGCCATAGTAAGGCCGTGAATGCCAAGTAAGATGGACACAGAAAAATGTCAGCTCTGTTAAAGGACAGACAAGTTGAGTCAAAACCTTAGTGGTTTATAAGCCTTAATGGTGAAAACTAATGTGCCTGTAGCCTATAAATATCCAACAACTTAGTGAGGAAGCTGTGCACAGATCTCATTTTTTCAGATGTACTCATATTGCCCAAGCTGCATTTCCAAATAAAAGTCCTTTTTCTGGAATGGACAACCAGTCTTCTGCTTCTACATTTATCCAAAAAAGAATGAGACAAAAAGTCTTCAGTAAGCTAAAAATAAGCTGATTTTGATACTTTAATCCATGGGCTTTTTGAGCAAACCTTCAAGGTTAACACTGCAGAACTATGAGGGAAAAAAGTTAGCTACCCAACTTTCCCAACTCTTTAGAAATAAAGAGAATTTTGGTTTATCACTATTTTCCTGACACAAAGAGCTGTGGTAACATAAACCATACTTTTTTTTTTTATAATTCACAGGTAAGAATTACTACTGACAAAACACCAACCAGAATGCCGGAATATTACACTGTTTGACCATCATGACAGAAAATAAGGTTTGTAGTTCTTGTTTTCACAACTTGTACTTCATCCTTCTCTTCTGAAAAATGGTAAGTTTCTTGGAAAAGTTTCTCTTTTTATGCACGATCACTTTAATTTTTTCAAGTTTACAAATGTCAGTCAGTATGTTCAAACACCAAATGCACTTTATAACAATAACAAAATTACCAGCAAACCAAATTTCAGTAACTGTAACTTTTGCTTTCTCATCCAACAATCTATGTAATAAACATGCTGAAACATGACAGTGTTGATTCCTACTGTAGTGTGCAAAAGAATTAAGCATGTTTAACCCATTGTGAGTTTCATCTCATTTTCTCATCACTTACATATGTCAATATGGTCATTTTTATATCAAAGGCCAAAGATATCCAAAGCCTTATGAGCAGTGTATGTCTTTCTTCTTTTTAAGAAAAAACTTGACAGATTAATACTTTTTCAGGCACAGCAATATTACTGTAGTTAATACTAATTTATGCAGCACATTTCTGATTTTTCAGTTTAACTGCCATCCCTTGTTCAATCCACTCTTCTTGCTTGTATTCTGCTAAGATGCCAAGATTTCACATGATGGGCATGTTATTTGCATAACAGTGAACATTATATTCATTCCACAGAAATTTCAAGCAAATACACTATATTCCAAATGACTTCTAAAGCAAAGTTATTCTGAATTTGTTAGACTGATTATGTGAAGAATAAATGACTGATGATTTGAAGATAAAATTCAGTGTATAAATGTTGTCATCTATGACATTTCACTATTCTAAAATCACAAAGGCCTGCCAGATTTCATTGCATTCATAATTAGAATCATTACATTGTAATTCAGGTTGTGCTCTTTATAAAGATGAATAGAATCAGTTTTAATACAGCCAAAGCCAGGCAAACCCAACAAGCCTACCTATGCAAGACAACTGTCAGTTCAAATAAAGATTTGTTTTCCTTTTCATAATGCAATTATAAACAAAAATTGACACCTGAAAGAAAAAAAATAAAATACAACAAAGAATTAAAATTTCACAAGAAGCATAACTAACCCAAGAGTAACCTGTATACAATGAATTTTTAAAAATTAGCTTTAAATCATAATCATAGCATCTTTATTTTATGGCACAAAAAGTTAATGGGGTAATTATATTCAGGACAGCACACAGAAATGGAAAAAAAAAATCAGACATTAGTTTTTAAGAGTTTACGCAAAATATCCAAGCCCCAACAGATCTCTGTCAGACAATCAAGATCTATAATAAATATTTTACCACATAATTAAACATATATAAGCACAAAAGGTTAGAAAATATAAACATTCCTCCAAAGGAAGTAAAATCTCAACAGGAACCTTTAACCTATAGTTTTATAATGATTTCCTTCTACTGAGGTCTCATGTCTCTTATTTTTCTTATAAATATAATATAGCTAGACTATAGCAATTCATACAAAATGGGACCTGTCTAGGTACAACATGATATAACAGAAGGACTCCAAAATAATGTCCCAGCATGGAATTCCCAGCTCCCTCAGAGAGCTCCAGTTTTGCTCACTGGTTGAAAAAGCATGTCCAATTATGTACAGCTAGAAACCATACCAAAACTTAAATTTTCAAATTATGCAACCCATGTTAATTTAGCATTTACTCTAGATATCTAAACAATACCAGGAAGATAAAAAGAGTATAGCTGGGGAGAGGAGAACAGAATACTGTAAGAAAAAATATGTACAGTTTTACAGAATGTTTTAGCCAAAAATTTCTTTCTAATTTATCTCGTGAATAAAATTCAGTGTTCTCAATGTTTTAAAGAATAGTCCATGTTAAATCACAACTGCTTTAATCCAAAGTATTTCTAAGCAGAGAGACAGTAGTTATTTTAATGCTGGGTTATGACAGACATGACATTATTTCTCTTGCAATAAATTGCAGATTACATTTTTGGAATGCTGTCAAATTATTTCACACCTAGTGATTTTGGTTCATTCGACATCTGATACTTGCATGCATCATTTGGTATTTTTCAGCAGTCCCTGTCTATAACAGAAGCAGGAGTCTAACAGCAAAGCAGCTTTTCTGTGGAGTCTCCACATTAACGAAATAGAACTGACTTACCATGTTCCACCCCGGATAGAGGTAGTCTGTCCCAACAAATTCAAAATAGTGAGCAAAACCTTCCTTCAACCACACATCCTCCCACCAAACTGGAGTCACAAACCAACCAAACCACTGGAAAAACAAGAAGTTCAAGTTAACAACTTTAACAACCTTTAGGAAAACATATTTTCATATATTTCACCTAGACAAACACATTCTCCACATATATTGATAAAACAGTAGTATTTACCATGCACTGAAACTCACTAACTATATTTTTCCTTATCTAATTAATTCAACATTACAAGATGCACAAGTTAATGAAGTAAAACATTAGAAAAAAAAAAGCACTGAGGACAGTATTCACAAAGTCAACTTTAGTTCTCTGAAGTAGATGCTCACCTAGGTTTAACAAACTAACATATACACTGGACAGAAAAAGGCTTCTATAATTCAAGTAATCTGATCCATTACACTGAAGCTTCATGATGCATAGTGTGAATATTGAAAAACATATATGTGGGAATGGGAACACGTTCTCCACCCCAGACCTAAATTTTAGCATTTCTTTCTCCCCACTCTCTGCCCACTAAAATTTACAATACTACTGATGCTCCTCTCCTTGGCAGGTTTCTTAAAGAAAGCAGCTTTACACAATAATGACAGCTCTCCGTGGGTAGGACTCAGATGCCTACAAGCAGGTAGTTGATGCCATTTAGAGAAGATAGTAGAGTATGTGAGATACCCACAAAGGCCTAGGAAATTTCATACTTGACCTATAGGACATCTGCAGCCTTTGCAAACAGCAGCCAGAAGCAGAGGTATCTGAATCGGCACAGCCCACCTGTGTACATGCAAAGGAACTCACTCGAGCTGCCTGCCTTTCCCATTTCCTCCACGATTCTTCAACATCCACACTGACTTCAATCTAATCTAGCAGGAAGGACGGAAATCTGAAGGATAACTAAACTCCATAAACTCTACAAATAAATGAAGATCATCAGATGAAAAGAGGAGAAAGGTCTGAGCTGAGGGCAAGGCAAGAACACAACCATTACATACTCTGCTCACTAAGACCTCAACAGACACAAATCTCACAGTACAGGACATGCAGGTGTCAGGGGGATTTTACACAGAGCTGGGATGACCACTGGAAAACAGATGAGGACAAGAATTCACAGGAAATCAAACATCATATGCTCATCTGCTGATAGATGACCCTGTTTAAGTGATTATTTAAATGATTGTAGTGTGTAACCTGAATAATGTTACACCAGTGATAAGAACAGGAACATCAAAATGATTATGAAAACCTATTTCATACTCTCTGTAGCCTCTCTTCTGTCAAATAATACCAAAACTTTAAGTAACATTATCTGCCAGATTTCTCTTTATAAAAATCAGTTATAATAATATATAATCAACAGAGATAATTTTGAGCTTTCATGTGTAAACATGCTCTAAAAATACAGAGAGGGAGCAGCAAGTATTCTAGAGGGAAAGGTAAGAGCAGAGGAACTGAAGCTGAACTTTAATGAGAGTGGGGAATGAATGAAAGCAGAGTTGGCCCATAAGCACTTTGATTTCATGTCAGCTGGCTTGTTGGAAGGCTTTGTCTGGGACGTGAATGAAAGATGTCACTTGTGTGCATGTCTTTGTGGAGTGAGAATGACACCACAGAAGGATCAATGCTGCAATGAGGATCCATAGTGATGTGTTCAAAGAACAGACTCGCAAGTAAAGACCAGACTAGCTGGAAGATTCCCAGACAGCCACATAAGGTTCAGCAAATAGAATTTGAATGAAAAGACATGAAGAAAAACATGGCAATGAATGTCTCTGACTATCAGCTTAAGAATTTAGAGAGAAAATATGAGGTTGATAGAAGTCATATTCGTACACTATGTGAAGGTAAACTTAATGCACACGCTGTATGCATAATATAGTTGAAGGCTATTAATAAATTAACTCTACAGGGCAACTAAACATAGATCCTAATCTCAAGAACATTTAACTGAAAAGACAAAGAAATGCTGGAAATATATTCATATAGCTTATGCATTTACAGAATTTGAAACAATAAAATAAATATAACTTTCATACACCAAGAAGGATGGAAGTTAAATTCATACTAGAGTAGATTGCTTAAATGATTTCTAATGATTAAACATAACAGCACAGAGTTTATTTCCTGAATTGCAGGAGTACTACTGAACAAATGTGAAACCAGTGGTAAAATTGTCATTTTGAACTATGACTAGCCAGAGAGATTTTAAAAATATGAAGGTTGTAAAGTTCGTAATACCTCGTCCTGTAATTTGAATTAATAACATTAATTTATGGTGCTACAAAAGACAATTTCTTCTACTCCTTTGTGAGTTTTCTAGGTTCATTTATTAATGATATAATTAAAACTATTTGTTTAATTATCCACCTAAAGGAAGAAATGTTTTAAAGGCATTAAACCAGTATGTGATATCAACATAAAAATGTTGGAAATTCGCTTAACTACTTTTGAACAGTATCAGAGTTATGTATGTCAGAGACAGAGCAGTACCCAGAGGCTATAAGCAAGAAAGCCAGATTTTCCAGCAGAAAGGTGCTATTATCTTCCTAGGTGTTACATGTATCAAAGGAAAACTGTAAGTAAAGCATTTAATTTCTTTAAGTAATTATTTATTTATTTGTGTATTTGACTATAGGCTCTATCTGCCTGAAGACCATCAATTCATTCTGAAATGTACAGATCACATAGATTTCTCATCTCCCTCATGTATTATATTCAACCTGATATGCAGAAAGTACTTAATTTACAGATATTTTGAAAGGAAACTCTTTTCTATATGGTTTATTTTTTACAGATTATAAAAAAATGTTGATTTAGAAGTTTTTAATTTTCTTTCTGCTTTCATGCCTCTGTAACTCAATCTGTCACACCAAGTTTTGTGCTCAGGTGGGAAAACTATGACAAAAATGATGCATAAATTCAAATTACTCTTTCTTCAAAGGCTATACGTGGAACTGATCTGTGATATGCAAATAAAACTGATTACTACCTTAACAGAATTATTTTAATGAATTATGGTAATTATTTCAAGTTATCAAATTAAGCTGGTAGAAATACATCTGTTTTGACTAACTCATGGTTTGGAGCTCAGAGGATAAGCTTTTATGCCAAAACACTCATATGATTGAGTTAGGTTTTTTTTTAATTAAATAAAGAAAATATTCTGAAAGAACACTCAAGCTGAAATATCAAAAAATAGCCCTCTACAAAACTACTGAACCAAAACTACCACAGTAATTTTCATGCATCTCTGCTAAAACAGGTACCTAAAATAACTGGTCAAACATCAAAAGTCAGCTGTCAAAAAACTGGACATGAAACCCTTTCTTCTTACACGCTTTTTACTTGTATTTTAGCAACCACTGAATTTGTCCTTTTGCAGTGTTGCCTCACATTTTCTATCTGTCCTGAGCACTGTGCAGGTTTGATAATCACAATTTTTAACAGTCAAGTCTAAAGGCAGTAAGATGGATTTTTAATATTAATCTGATTTCTCTAATCTTGGAAACAACATTGGCAAAGCAACTGCTGTGTTACTCTCAGTAACAAGGCTCTCATACAGATCAGTTTACTGCATGCTCCGATATGTTCCACGAATCTTGAAGTCATGGGTTTAAAGTCAGGGAAACTGGACAATGACACAATTCTTATTAAAAAAAAAAAAAAAAAAAAAAAAAAAAACCACAACACATATTTTAGAAGAGTTCCATTTCCTCTTCCCTGAAATCTAAAAAACACCGAATAAATAAAAAATAAAAAGCAAAACTGGAGGTGTGGAAATGTAGATTCTAGTTTTGTTTGCAATTGAGAGATTTTGGTTAATTTTTGTTATTCTATGTGTAAAAATGAGTGAAGGGGAAGAATATTCATGTGTCACCACAGGCTAACAGGTGATATGATGCACACCAAAAGAACGCGAAGAAGGCAGTGAATAAATAACAATTAAGGAGCAGAGGCAAGAGATCCTGGACCCAACTTGGTCTTGGTTCAGCACATTTTCAGCTAAGATAGTATTGTTTAGAGTTCCTTGAGGGGCTTCTGAATTTGGTAAGATAAAGGTAGAAAAAAGGGCTAAATTAAGACAACGTGATAGAGGTGCTAGACTGTTTTTTAGGTTATATTTTTGAGTGTTCCTCCCTTTAAACTTTACTTGCAGGTGAATAATCTGTATTCTGTGTGATTCAATTCTGCATCCAAGAAGTAGAAACAATGCTTCTTTAACATTATTTTTTTCTATCTTGTCTAGCTATCCAATGAAGCACCTGAGCAAAGACCTAATCTGCATGGCAGTGAAACAGAAACAGCAGCAGCAGCAGGAATAGAGGAAATTACTTTTAATTAAGCAAACAGCACTGGAAGCGATATCAACATGGACATCAACCTCCTCATCTGCAATTATAAGGTCACTTAAATGCACTTTATGATCATATTTCTACCCTAAAATAAATTCAGCTATAGTTTTTGCCTACTTCATGATCCTCTAAAATTCCCAGAACAATGTAAAATGGCTTCAGTGTCTGTAAGAATTAAATAAGCAAACCTGGTCAGTTACTGATGTGATAATTGCCCACATCTGAAGTACAAATTGCTCTGGAAGCAGAGGAAATTATCAAAGCAGTGCAAAGAATAACTGGAAGTAATGAAACAACTTCAGAAAAATCAAGACTTAAGCTGAACACTTGGGAAAAGTTACTTATCATCAGATTTAACCAAAAGGTTTTAAGGGAAGCCATATAACCCTGTAATCAGGAGCACTGAACCCAGCACTACAAACACATCACATGGAAAAATCTAATATTCACAGGAGCTGTGACTTGATGACCTAATGTATGTTTTCCACATATGACTCCTAAGGCACTGTAATTTTTCTAGCTGAACTGTGTACTATTCTATTGTACTGCACAGTGAAGAGCTTATAGCAAAATCAGATGATAGTATCAAGATCAAACCAACAATAACTTTCAATAAAAATTTCATTTCTTAGTTGAGGATTTCATATTCATCGACCAATTTAATGTGAAATACAAACATGAACCAAACATTATTTTCAGGCTCGTCTGCCAGACTGCCATTACAATGGCTCCCTTTTACATGGTACCTTTTATTTGCAGAAAGTGTTAAGAATTTGCATTGCCTTTAAAGAATACTGTAAAGTCACAGATGTAAGCCATGGTGATTACACAGTAGGATTTCATTCATTTTAACCTGAAGGCTATGATTATGCCTCTTATGAGTATAAGAAAGCGTTTCCTGCCCCTGTAGCAAATTTCTTCAATAACATTTGCATTCAAGTCAATATTACTAACACTTGTAATGTGTTTAGCTTGAGATAAGAAGATGGGAAAAATGTAAAATAAATTGTAATACGGGTTTATTATTTTAAGTTTTCTTATTGACACAATAGTTTCTGTACACATAAAGACTCGCTTATCCACCATTAGTGAACAGAAAGGGTCACTACCAAGCTGGAAAAAAACTTGAGAAGAAAATGGATATGTGTATATATGACAGAATACAAAGACTACTACCTATTGACTTCAGACAAAACATTTTTTGACACGAACATGAAACTTAGCATGAATATGCTACCATCATGTTTATTCTACATACCAGTAACAAATACACTGACACACAAACACACAGAATATACCACTACAGAAGAAAGAGATTCTGTTCATTGCTACTAATTTTCTCTCCTATCCCCATTTTGAGTCTTCACAGTTTCTGTACTGTAGGGATGTGTCTTACAGACCTCCATGTTACATGGATTCCAGTTACAACAGAAATCACAACCAACAATAGATTCTGACATTAAGATCAAATACATGAACACCTTAAATACCTGATGGCATAGCTCATGTACAATGACCATGGTGACATCCAGTAGGTATAAAATAGAAGAAATGCTTGGATCTAGCAGTATCCTTTGCTCCACGAAAACACTCAGTCCCCAGTTTTCCATAGCAGCATAAGGATGCTTAGGCACAGCCAACAGATCTAGAAACAGAAAAAATACATGTTAACTCCTTGTGGGAGCTACTGTGCTGAAGAGCTGTTGTAAGAAGGACCATAAATCATTACTAAAAACATTTTAAATAACATACATGGGGGGGAAAAAAAAAATCACACAAACCAAAAGCAAAAATTCTCTCTAGTAATATTTCTTAGGAAACATTGATAAAATACTCATTTTCATCCTATGCCACTATCTGTTCACAAATGATTACCATGTTATTGATGTAATACAGTACTTAGTATTTCTAATGAAGCATTCTATAGAGAATCCAGCTTATTTACAACACCTTGTTGATTTACTTCTGGGTTTGATACTGCTTCTCATGTTTACTACACCATATCAGCACAGTAACACAGACTCTTACTACAAGTATTTTTTATATTTTCACTGAAACAACTCCTTTATGAACAGTTTGATCTTACACATCAAGCTGTATGTAATGACTGACATTTAGGGGTGCACTGAAGAAATACCATTTCACAACACCAAGAAAAATGGCAAACTGTTCAGAATCCCCAGTTCTTACTAAACAAGGCATCTTCTGGTGTGCACTGTTGCTAGCACACATCATCTGGGAGCAAGACTGCTGACAGCCATCTCTCAGCCCTGCCTGCTGGAACAATGGAACCATATGCAACTTAAGGAACTTCAGTTTTGTACTCAGTAAGTGACAAAATAGGACCAAGATGAGATAGTCCTTCATCAAGTAAAAAAAAAGCACCAAGGAATCTCTCACAGTGGCATGAGGTTGAACAACTCAATACATGTCTTAGAAAAATTTTAACTGCAGAAGATTGAAAAGGAACTAAATTGACTACCAACTACATTGATTACAGTAAATTTCCATAGGAAATAAACCAATACACAATTCTGCTTCACAGCAAAAAACATCTGAAAGACCCCAGAAACAACTTGTTTGTCTATCAGAAGCCCAGTACAACCTGCGTAAAGATCACACAGAATTTTGGAAGCTACAATGTGACATCAGCATGGTGCTCCCTCCAGTCAAACTAATTAGCCTGACTTCTCAATTAATTAGCCTGGCTGCCACACTCTTCTCTCATTTGCCTCTACTACTTCTGCTTCCAAAGCTAGTTCATTGGCAGTTATCACAAGTATGTCTAGGTGGTCATTCACTGGGTGACTTCCTAACATGAACAAGAGAAATTCTGACCTAATTATTCTAAATAATTCTCTAAATTGTATTACAGCACTGACACCTCTCCTAAGTTTGTCTGTTTTGGCTTGCTGATGCACGTGCTGGAATTGGCTTGGAGAACAAACAGACTGCAAGAGCTCTACTCCAAGATTCATAGGAAGTTGCCACAGAAATACTGGGAAACGAGAATTTGGGTATATTCTGGCGTTCCTCAAAAGGGCCTGCTCCAAGAAGTACAAAAATACCAGCCTCCTAGAGAATGCAAGACATGTCTAGCAGCTACTTCCAAATACATGCAGAAAATATCCAAATCACAGAGACACACTTCAAATGCTAAGGAATAAATATTTTATAGAAAAGCAAACACTAGAACATGAGCCTAATTAAAGAAAATAAGGTAAAAATCCAAAACATGGTTAAAGAAAATAAGGTAAAAATCCAAAACATGGTGTTCAAGATTAGGCATGTGAGTAAATTCAAAACCAAATGCTTTCCTTTTCTTCTTCAGTTGAAGCTTGAACTGTACGATTTTTTCAGAATAACAGCAATTTGTTATAAATGACATGCAAAATGAAAAGCTCCTGTCTCCTATACAAAGAAGGAATAAGGATGGGATAAAAAAAAAGACACAAACATTACCAGGTGGAATAACTGAAGTTAATGGCAAGTTTTCAGTAACATTAAACAGGGATCTCTTCCATTCTCAACTCTGTAAAGAAAGTCATAACTTCTCCTACACCAATTCAACTTTCCTCCAAAAGGTGTCTTCAGAAGATGAATACTGTTCTTACCTACCCCAATTAAGTTTTCAGCATTTCCCTTTGAACACAGAACAGAACTAGCACTAAAAGCAGGTCCCTATTTTTCACTGATCCTTTCATCTCTTTTTTCTCCTTTGGGTTCATTTGTAGTTTTTGGTCTTTCTTTCCCACCAAAATGGATAGATTTTGTTAGTGTCATCCAGTAATAAACTGAAATAACTCTTGTGGAACTGGGAAACAAGGATGAGGTCTCACATTAAATACATTTACAGGCTAATTATAGACTGTCTTTCACTATTTGTGTCGTTGGTATTTCTTTGCTAGTTTGGACTGATACTTTACAGCACTGACACACCAATAAAACCTTCCAATCTGATGGACAGATAACTGCCTTGCAGGTAGGCAGCCACAGAGGGATATTTTAAATCACTTGCATCCAACATAGCCCCATTTCTCTGCAAGCCTGAAAAGTCCTTTCACGCACCGGCTACTGCTGAAACGGCTTTTCTGAAGAGAAAACAAAACATATTAGATAACCCTGTCAGTTTCCAGAATGCTAATCCCTTCAGGTGACATGAGCATACCAATAATGTTGAGTGAGTATGAGCACACTACCATTTTCTAGTACAGGGTCTGATACACTACACTTTAATGCAAAAGAAACTTCCTTAATCTCCACTGACTGACAGAATGGTCTGTGAAAATACATCAATCAAAATTTTTTGCTACTTACTGTCCATTTCTAAATTCTGAATAACCAAGTCTCAATGTTAATTTTTCAGTGTCTGGTCTTTGTTAGCTTCAAAAATTTCTACTACCTTTAAATAAAATTCCAAACACGTCTAGTTTTGTGGTAAAAGACACAATAATCCATATCTTTCTCTGGGGAGTAATAAACGTTTGATTTCAGAGGAACAATGTGTGATGTTCAAGTCTCAACATGAGAATTTGTATTTCCCTGTTTATCACACCATTAGAGCCCTGAGCAAGGTATCCTGTGATCCTGGAGGTGACATCTGTTAAGGTTTTAGTGTCATTTTTAAGGTACAAAAGGAGGAGTGATAATGCACATTTTGATGGAAATATCATTCACATACATTACTGCATGAAAGTGTTTTGCACTAACTGCAAAATGGGAACTACTGAATATATAACGGCTTGTGTACATGCTGCATCCAGTCACTCTGCACACTATTTAATTAAATTCTTTGTAAAGCACTTGTGAATGTTTGATTATGTGGATATTGCTGGGGAAATAGAAATGTGTGTTATTGCTTGCAGAGAATAATATCCTCATGCGTCATAAAACAGTTACTTGAGATTTCCTGATACAGCAATGCAGAGTCCCGTGTAGTGCTGGAATAATAAAGGGTTTCCACCTCCTGGCCTTCACAGAGACATTCATGACCAACAAGTAAAAATTATACAGCTAAAATAAAATCACAAGACAAAAATATGTTGGATCTTCACACTAACATGCTATACTGGTACAATTATTTGAAAACAAGGACAGCATTTGGAATTTTAAAAAAACTATTTCTGTGTGACTTTCATGAAAAAGAAATTATGTTACAAAAATTGTACATAGCTCAACAGCTTTCTTTATTTCCAAACATTTAATTAAGGCATCATAACTATGTGAGCTTACATCAAAATATAATCCTTTGACATTATCAGCAAGTTATCATCATAGTGCAAAATAGGAATTAGCAATTTCACACCTAAATTGGCCATAAAGCAAACACACATTTGATGGGAGTTTTTTATCTATGAACTTACTATCTGTGCAATGTGCTCAAATTATACTGGTTTTCAATCTTTGCCACTCAGTCATGTATCTTCTAAGTTCTATTAAAAACCTCTATATTCCCCAAAGCACAAACTAGGAGCATCACTCTTATTTTAAATTGAGAGCAAGGTTAGAACAGAAAAGGATTAAATGCAAAATGATCCAGCTCTCTCATGCAGAGTACCATGAATTTGTGGGGCCTTTCCCCCTGCTTTACCATCCTACTCTTTGGCAAACAACAAAGCATCTTCTCCATCACTGTGATTCCACTATACTTAACCACCCCCATTAGAAGCTGGACAAGGATATTGGTATAACATGCACACATCCTAACTATACATAGAAATATGAGTGCATGAATAAACACCAACAGACATCCACATCCACATTTACTAACATTATGAACTGCAATCTTATTTGTTTTAGCTGCTGGTTGAAATATAACCAAGAGCTAGATACTCCAGAACATGACAGTATTAAATTTCTAATACTCATGGTGAAAGTTAAAAGCACTAAGGGGGAAAAAAAAAAACCAAAAAACTAGATTCATTAATTATTTCTGCAAATTTTCTGCTAGCATACATGAGAAGTCTCCCAAATAAATATCTGAGACCCCTAAACACTGAAAATTGCAAACGAGAACATAAAACTGAGAGACAAGAATTTTCTGTCAAGCATATATTTTCCTTAATAAATCCAGGAGGCATTCAGGGATAAACTGTTCACTCCATGAACTCCATAGTTTTCCCTTATAATCCCTACTTTTATTACAAAAATGACACTACAAAAATAATTTTAATTTATCTATGTGCCTCTCACAATGTTATTTTCATTCATTTCTTCAGAAGCTTTCTTCAGGATATTGGCACAGGTACCTTGCTCCCACAGGATGTCCAGTCTTCTGACAACAAATTCAAAAACTAAGAGGAATCATGGACTAGTATCAGTTTATTTAAGTCATGCCTTAAGTATGTTTTTGCCCTTTCCTGGTACTGCATAATGCAATCAATAGCTTTACTAAATTTCTCTAAAGGCCTTGTGCAATTTCCTAAATGAATGCTACTGCAGCAATAGAAAAAAAAAATAGAACTGTTTACCAGAAGGGTACATATTTCTACCACTCAGATTCCTTAATCAAAGTAATTTTTTTACTAAGTAGAAGATGCTTTTCTGTAGTCCAGTACCATTTCATGATTTATTCAGGTTTATTAGGAACAAGCCAAATATAAAAAGTGACAGATCTCATTAAAAAAACATGAAGTCAAACAGTAG